ATCTGCCCACCTTGGCCTCCAAAGTGCTGGGATTATAGGTATAATAGGAATAATCCTATTATAGGATTATTCTCATTAAACATCTGTTTGTATGTTTGATATTATTCCACCTGACTCTGAGTCCTGCTAATTTTTCTCCAACTTTTTTCTCTCTTCTTCAGATCATATAATCTTTATGGATTTCAAGTTCATTGATTCTTTCTTCTAACATCTCAAATGTGCTTCTGAGCCCCTTCAGTGCATTTTTATTTGGTTTATTGTCCTTCACAAGTTAGAATTTCTATTATTTTTTAGACAATTTCTATTCTTTTTATCAGTATCATAGTGGGCTCATTGACATATTTTCCTTTAATTCTTTAATATTGGTTTTCATTAATTCTTTGAACATGTATTTGACAGTCACTTTGAAGACTGCCTCCTAAATTCAACATCTAGGCTCACTCCCTGGATGAGACAGCGTTTATTGAATACTTCTGTATCACTCCCACCCTCAAATGGGTTACACATTTCTCTTTCTTTTCTTTCTCATGTGTTGTAATTTTTTTGTTGGTACTGGATATTATGGATATTATACAGTAGCAACTTTTTATCCTGATTTTCTTTTTTTCCCTGAGGGTTTCTTTCTTTTCTGGTTTTTGACTGCCTTTTTGTTGCTGTTTGTTTTTAAGTAATTTGCCTAAATTAAATATGCCTCTTCTACCGTTTGCAGCTATCTCTCCTCTGTTTTCAGAAATTATCATTTTTTATATTTTAGCCTATGAGTTATTTTTATTTCTGCATAGCTTAGTCACTGTCAATGACTAGTGGTTGTGGTCAAACACCAGTAAGCCTTCTACCCTCTCCTGGTGGATCTGCATGAGAGTACATTAGAAGTTCAGACAGTTTTCAAGTCTATTGTGACTTTTACCTTTCGCCTGTCCCTCCTGGGTCTGCTCTATACATGTGCTCAATCTTCCAGTCATCTAGGAATGTGTGGAGAGCTTGGGCCCTCTTAAGTCTCCCCTGGATTGCATGAAGTCAGGGCTGTGTGGAGAACTTCAGCCCTCTTTGGTGCTGCATGTTTATGAAGCTTTCTTGGCCTCCAGGAGATGATTTTATCACGTCTCTCTATGACTTTCTCATTTCCAGGATTTTCCTGTTAAATTTCTGGCCAGTTCTTTTGTCTGCTGTTGTACCAACCAGGACTAAAATCTCAGGCTAGAACTGTAGGCTTTTCCCATTTTCCACTGTGAGTGTGGGTTTTCCACCATCTACTCACAAACATGTCGGCCCCCTTTAGCAAAAAAAGCTTCTGATTTTTGTAGCCAGCCCTACTCTAGCAGTATTACTATGATAAATGAGCTGTGGTGAGGGACAGGGCCAGCCTCACAAGAGAATGCTACAGACTGCCTGAAGTCTTACTTCAAGCTCAGTACTGTTTTTAAACAAAAAAATTCTTCTCAATTGTTATTTATGATTGATTTCTAAATTTGTCTAAAACAAAATGGTTGTTTTTGACAAATTTGCCTGGTTTTATGGTTTGTCTGAGTATAGAATGTTGACTTTTTCAGTTCTTCATAGTTGGAAGTCTCCTGCTTTTATTTGGCTTTTGGCCTGCTAAATTCTTACTGGCATGTCAGATCTTAAAAGGTTTTTAAAGATAGGCTTTACAATGTTTTTAGGGTTTTTTTAGTTGGAGGATGAGTCTAGATATCTAGCCAGCTATACAGAAGACAGTTAATAATTTATCTACTTTTATGACTATTAAGTGAAACTGTTAAGCAAAGAATTTAGCAAAGTGTCTGTAACAAAGGGGCTCAATAGTTATAATGTCTGAACACTTATATTGTAGGAATTATACATATATTATTTTATCTTAATATTTCAAAGAGGTAGGCATTCTCATTTTAATATTAGCAACAACAACAAAGAAAAAGATTTACCAGACCAAGAACATACAGGTAGTAAGTCAGGATTTCAATTCAAATATGCTCAACTCCAAAACTGGTGCCTTCCCTACTTTACCATGCTGCCTTCCTGGTGAAGAAGGTTTCAGTGGCTGCTTTTTGGGAGATACCCTGTAGACCATCTAGGACATAATAAGAAATTAAATCCATTATAGGGATTAGAAAGAGGGCTTATTGTTATACTAATTGACAGTGACCCAAAACATAGTAGGGGTACATACAGATGCCTAAAAGCAGATAGGGCTTTTGCTAAGATAATGTGAGTCACTGAAACTAATAAGGTTTTAAGGTTCTATACGATAGTTGCCCAAATTCCAATTATATATACAGTGAACAATTAAATATGAACTAAGACTGCTACAAAAATACCTAAACAACTGAACTACATTTCATTTCAAAGCTTATAAATATATTTGGGAATTAAGTAGCAAATGTTGAAGAAGTTGACTCTTTTGGGCTGAATCTTATGAAGTGGTAAAGCTTACTGGGGGGATCATGAATCTGTTCTCCAGTTCTGAATATTCAGAAACTAGAGTGTAAGCTACTGTGAAAACCTTCCTAATTAGTCTCTCCGCTTCCAGTGTGTTCCTTATATGCTTACCTCACCAGTTTTCCTAAAACATTCTTTAATCATGTTGCTTCTGTGTGGTTTCTCACTGTTCACTAGTAATTCCTTAATTCTTCATCCAAAGGCCTCTATTAATCTGGTTCTCAGTTTACTACTCAGCTCTTTGTCTCTCACAATTCCCTGTCCTTGGTGGGCTCATTTATGCTCCCCTTTTACCCTCTACTCTCACCACTTTCATTCTCATCTCCAAACCACTGCTTATTCCATTCTCCTTATTATTATTATTTTTTTACCCCTACCATTGCACCCTTTCTTGGAGCACACGCTTTTCTAGATTTCATCCACTCAAATCTTACAAGTTCTTTTAAATCTACCTCCTTTCATTCATTCAATGGACAGTGTTCATGAAATAAAGTGTAAGCTCCCACAAGTGCCTTTCCCATGTAGTTTATCAAACAATATATTATCATTCAAATTCCACCTCTAGCCTAGTTGTGGCTCCACATTAGGGGGAAATCTCATTCTGGTCCAAATGATATATCACTTTTATCCACTTTTGGCTGCCCCCAACTTTAATGGTTAGTAGATAGGGCCTTTTTCCCCTTAAGTGATACACCTATCTGAGGTGATCTACCATAGGTTAGGGATTGTCTCTTTGGGGCTGTGACATAGTATATGGTTATAACAAAGTAAGAAATATATATCCAGAGAAAAAACTTAATTATAAGTGAATCTCATAACTGAGGTAGTCATAGATTATGGTGCATAATGTTCTTGTTCTTAAATTCATAAAATAACTACTAATGCTTGAGTGCATTAATTATTTTACTTCATGCTGTGCAAACAGCTAAGAGATAATGGCCTCCCTTTGGTAAAAAAAAATCATAATAATACTTTCTATTTAAATGCTTAGTTTGCTTCCACCCCTATTTCATATTTCTTCCTTGCCATTTCTTTGCTATCCATCATCGTCCCCATGGTTTTCCAGTTAGCCATCAATGCAGATTGGATGAAATAAAGAATTGGCATAGGTGTCATTTCATCAATCCAGTCAACCTCCCTGCCTCAGTCTTTCTTTCCCATACTTACGGGAGGTGAGGGAAGGTGACAGAGGATAATGTTAGGCAGATGAAATGTACTTAAAAGAGCTAAGGACTTAACAAAACAGGAAAAATCAAGGAGTGGAGAAGGATAGGGGATACACAGCAGATGTTATGGAATTGTTTTTACCCAGTGTAGTGGAACTAAGTCTTTTCCAGTTCTTGCTAGTTATAGTTAGTACAAGACCACACATAAAAGAGGTTCAAGACACACATAAGAAAAAAGTGCATTCAGATGAAAATTGTTTGATAACACCTCTCTAGAAACTTGGTAGGTTAGGCAAAATGAGGATTGGCACAATCTGTGGCATAGTCTTACCTAAGGTGGCTTTCTCTTCTAATGGCACAGATCCATCACAGTTGATACAAAAGCCCATATTTCATTGACTAAAAATGGCCAAAGGCTTATTCCTATTTCAAAGTATATTACTTGATAGTATATATAAGAATGTATCATTATTGTTTTTACATTCCAAGGCACTTGTAAAAGCCATAAAAATAATTTTGCTCTCACTATGTCAATGGACTTCCTTTAATCTTATTTGACTGTGTTCTAGAAAACAAGAAATAAAAGACAAAGTTCAGCTACTTGTATATAAATTTGAACTGGGATACAACAGCAAAGGAGAACGTTTCATTTTTGCTGAGGCAAACTGCTAAGGAAAATAAAAGTAGTTATGCTGTTAGCAATCTGCTTCTTCTTACCCAGAACATAAATCTCACTGTTGACTACAGCTGTACTGAATCGGTACTTAGAGTACTTCATGGGTGCCCGCACACTCCATTGATCTTGGCTGGGGTCATACTGCAACAGTTTGTTGCTTAATCGATCAGGTTCTTCATCAGGAAGATCCATCTGTATGAAATATGACAGCCAATATAATAACATACAATTTAGTGATCTTTGTGAGTACATGAATGCAATTAATCAAAGCAGACAGCCAAGGAGATAAATAGAGGTTAACTACAGTGACTCATACTCACAAACACACCAAACCCCATGACTTGGATTATAAGTATACTGTCAATATCAGAGGTATTTATATTCTAAAATAATGAGCCTAAGGTGTTCAGTTATAGCAGACAATCTGTGATCTTAGCAGTGGAACATTCATTACAGCTTTTTTTTTTTTTAAAGAAGCAACTGCAAAGCCTTAAAAATAAAACCAAGCTCTCTTGAATAGTATTTAAAGTGTAATTCTATTTTACCAAACTTTATAGTTGTTGATTTTAATATTTGTGAGAAACTAATTTTAATAATTTATAAGGCATTTTCTTTATATTTTTCTAATCCATATGAAACAAAGTTGCCAAAACATTTTAGTGTCTTTGTAATTATTTTTACACCACAATTATGACTTACATAGAAATGTCATGAATTCATTTTTCAAGATTTATGGACTAATATAAATTATTTGCAGTTATTTTAACGTACTTATTTTATAAATTTTTAATGACTAGAGAAGGTACAAATTAAACAACTTTATTTTTACATAGATGTGGCTTTTCCTATTCATAAATGTTAGGAGAAATAATGTTTTTTGTATACATGTATGTGGAACTTTATATGACTTCAAACTGAGGATTCATGAGTATCATTTTTTTGGGATGCAAGTGTTCAACAAAGAAATAACTGGCATATTTATGAAAGTTTATGCAATTAATTTTAGTTAACTACTCTAAATACACCAAGAGTTATGCTCACCATGGCACATGCACAACCCTGTGTGATCTTGCAATTTAGCATGTTATACAAGGTACTTAATCAGGCAGCAAAGCCTTTCCTCCGTGCAGTTAACATCCACCTTTTCTGTTCAGAGACTTTATAAATTAACAAACGATGACTTTATAGTTTTAATTTTCCTTCTAATTTAAGTACTTAATCTCTATTTTAGTGAAAGAAATGCAAAGAAAAGCTTCTAAGTTGTTTTTGGAGCTTATTCATGCAAAATTAACTATGTAAATGGATAGTTTTGAAAAAATGATGAAAATCTGTCAGGGTTCTCCTGCTAGCTGTGATGAAATCTGTACTACTTTTTGACATAGAGCAGAAAATTTTAAATGTGTTAAATGTGAGGTTTAAGTTGTTAAAACAGGTATGATATACTATAAATAAATGGCGAAATCCAAGCTTCTGGAATGAATGCAAATAGCATCAGTTTTATCATGAAGCAAAATTGGAGAAACAAAAAATAATATAGGCAAAAATAAATTTACTATATACCACGAGGATGACCTATGAGTGAGTGAGATTAGTGTTTTTAGAAAGTGCAGCTGGCCAGGGCATAAGGCAGCTGGTGTGATGCTATCAAAAGTGCTCCCAGGCACCTAGAGAGGACATCCAGAGGGGAGGGAGAAGGCCACTGTGGCCACACACCCCTGATTTTTCATTCTGGTTTGCCATCACTTCACTGGGCTTCAAGAGAAACACCCTTATTCTGGGTTCTCCTCTGCCTGCGGATGCCCAATAAAAACATCAAGTGTTACAATCACAGTATGCTTTCATAGAAATGATTGTGCCATCACTGATCAGTATTCTAGTGTCTCACTTAGGGTAAGAATTTTAAATATGGAAAAGAACAATGATTTACTTGCTTTAGGTCACAGAGCTGGATGGGGATCCAGCTTTTCTTCCTCCTAGTTAGATGCTCCTTACAGATAATCCCACATCACAAACATCTTTCATAATTAGCAAGGATGGGAGGATTATGAAGAACACAGCATGAATAGTGAATCAAGTCATGTCTATGAAAACACACTTTAAAAACCCATTCTGCTAAATTGTTTTAACACTTTAAAACCTTAAGTTACATTCTATAAAACAGAAAGCATTTTACCAAAATATAAGTCATACTCTTTTAGTATTCAACAACTACAACAATTTTTAACATAGCAGCCAGCCTCAGTATAGCCATGCCAATTGTGTATACAGAAAATTTCTTAACCTGAGGGGTCCAGCCTCCAATCACATAAAGTTTATTATTCACTGTCACTACAGCATGACATGCCAATTGCAGTGGAAGGGGAGACACCCTTTTCCAATTGTCCCGTTCTACAGAGTACTTATCAACATAGTTTGTAATAAGATACTGGTTTTTAATTTTCATCTGTCCTCCTATAACATAGAGGTCATTATGAATACTGCCCAGAGCATAGAGTTCTCGAAATTCAGCTGTACATAACTTTTCCCAAAACTGGTTTCCTCTATCATGATACCTGCAAATCAAGAGAGAGAGAGAGTATCCAGGATTAGAGGTAACATGAAAGCAATTTACCCAAGAAATACACTTATTTATTTTCTGACCAAAAATAATGAGATATGGTTCTTTCAATTGGAGGACAAAAAACATTAATACAAGATAGTGATATACATTTGCTTTTTTTTTTAAGCCATGATGAACAAAATATAATTTGCCTTAAAATAATTAACCACATATACCTGAAGAATTTTAGAAAAAAATATAGAGAAAAAGTATAGATTATCCAGGACTAGCCTTCATTTTCTAATTGCAAGAAAGAAAATCAAGAATGAATAGAAAGCTTTTCAGCAAATCATTTGTAATTTTACCATAAAAGTAAGCAAAAATACAAGTATGCCTTATTCTATGGACAAGAAATATCATTTTAACATGAACATTAAAGAAATCACAGTTTTAGGGCAGAGAATCTAAAAACATCTCAATTCATAAATTTCTCATATGTAGAATTTTAAGAACTGCTGTGGTTCCAGCTGGCTTACAGTTGGGTCAAGAGTACTGTGTAGAGTCACAGTACTTACAGTTGGGTCAAGAGTCTGTTGGGCACTTAACATCCATTTTAATCTACTAGATATGGCAATTTTGGTAATTTCTTCCAGAGTATCAGTCTAAGAAGAGACTTAAGAGCTAGGGACACTAGTATTTATGGTCTCTCAGTGCCTTTTAGAGTCCAACACATTAACTGGTTATGTGTTTGATGGGGCATTATATGGTCACTGCGTAGATGAGTTTGTGGCTGTCTTTGTCTTGCACCATGATAATGGTAAGTCTTATCTCCAATCATGATTGAAGATACACAGTCTGAGAAGGACAAAAGTACTTAATGGGGACAGTGGGATAAAATATGTGAAATTAAATGTGCCAGAAAATCCAGCAAGTACATCTGGAATTCAAAATTAAACAAAACACAAAAAACAGAAAAACATGGAAATTAAGAAAAAAGTTGTTAGTTTAGAAATAAATGAGAAAATTATGATATTTTTTGTTTTATACAGAGTACAATTTTTAAGTATAGACTACTTATCTTTCATTTAACACCTGGCTGTTAAGTCTATGATAGGAATTTTCCCAGTTGTCTAAGCCAACTCTTCCCTTCTTTCCCAGAGAGACCTCTTTACTTGAGGCTTGACAGGGAAGTTGGAAGGCATGCTCCTTTCTAAGGGGGCATGCCTGGCTTGTCACAGCTGAAGGCAGAAATTTATCAAACCTTATAATGGCTGTCTTCTATGTAATTTTAGGCAGAAAACCAAAGTCTCTAGAATCACAGGTGATATTTTCATCACTATTTTTAATTGCATAAATTTTAGAAGAGAAAGGAGGAATAGGTATCTGTAATGTATGTTGGGGCTACCAAAGTAAAGCCAACTGAATGAATATATAAATGAACTTTAAAAAATGGGTTTGGATTTTCTGAGACATAGTCTAAGAAAATAGGCTAGGAGTGAAGTACATCCCATAAAGGTTAGGAAGTAGATGTTTGCTGGGTGACTTGCTAATCTGATTTTGTTTTCACATTTAGAACTGAAAACAGGGAGAGATAATGCCCAGATAAAACTCTAAAACTTACTATTAAGTGGCTATGACATAAAAAAAAATAGTGACAAAAGCATTCATTGTTAAAGAGGTTGATAGTTTAAAGGCAAATGGAGATAAGTGAAGGAGACAGAAAGGTACATCTTTTTTGGAAGAAATAATCTTCCAGAGTACTAGTCTACTTCCTTTTTTAAGTCAATAAGAAATGTATCTGCATGGAAATCTATGAGTAGCGGCAAACTGAAGAGCATCTGGACAAAGATCAAAAGACAAATAATATAACAGGGATGTAGCACAGGATGATAAATTTCTCATCCATATCACGAAAATGGCACCACAGTGACCTTCAGTAATGCTAGGAGATTTTAATTACATAGATCATCAGCTGGAAGTCCCATTTAAGCCTAAAGCAATACTTCTGACAGTTTCATTATTGGAGGAAATGATGGTGGTAACTAATAACTTTTACCCTAACCCTGACCAATGTGGAGGAGATGGTTGGTGATGGGAACCTGGTTGAGTTCAAGATAAATAGGAGGGAAAGCATGGGGTATATAGTTAGGCATTTGCTGTTAGACAGGGAAATGGGCTTTCAACAAGTTAAAAGGAAAGACGTTTGAGGACCAAAACTGAGACACTTTGACA